CCCCCCCCCCCCCCCCCCCCCCCCCCCCCAGATAAACCTATATCCAGCTTCAATCAAATCGACCAGGAGATACGCACTCCAGGCTGGAACATGGATAGCCATCAATCACACCGACGTACTATGAGTTGGACAGGACCCTTCTGACGAACTCGATTCATCGGGTTTAAATCGGAGACTTTGGGGGCAAAAGGACTGGATCCTGGCACGGATTCATGGAGAGTTGTGTATCAGAGGTCACTCGTATAACAACGTTGGGCGTCAAGGTGCCACTTGGTTTGGGAACGACGTTGAAGGGGGGTTGACTCGAGAGATTCATGGCAGACTTTTGGGTGGTTCTGGTGAATCACAGGGATCAACGATGGAAGCATTGCAGTAGGAAAGCAAATATATATTCTGGTTACCTGCTTCTAAGCGAATCACACGTATGTGTTCTGATGATTGATTTGTTGGACGAAAACGAAAGGAGTGTCTTTCAGGGTAATAACCCTTGGTGATGTCTCTGGCACATGGTGCTTGTTTAAGTCCAGATCACAACATCACTTTTAGTGCATGACCTCTGACACTCAATATGCAAATCTTGCAAGAAATCGGACCCTTGAGAAAATTCAGTAGTATGTCGTTTCATCGCTCGCACTGACGTGAAAGAGTTTTCTTTTATCTTATCTTTTATCATTTTCTTCTAGATGGTGCAATTCGGTATGTTGGTTGGAATGTTGTTGGAGCACGTGCCTCAAGTACAAGATCAATCGTAGAGATCCCTCAAGTCATTTTCAGGGCACCATTTTAGCTGTTCAACCCAACCTAGATGTCAATCCTACTTTGCTCACTACCTATGCAACGGCTTCCCTGATAGAATTCTTCTACCTTGTCAATATAGCTTCACTTCACTGTTATTACATGCACCTAAAAAAGCAGCAAGTCAGTGTTTTCATCTCCTCCATCCATCGAGTCCCTTGTCCAGGAGAGGCAAACACAGGCACAACATCCGCTAGCCCCAAACAGGCTTGGGCGCTGGCATAATCCGCTGCGCTATGGTGTCATTTGCCGTGATTCATTCCATCCTCGTGCATGCTTGATACTTGCACAGCTGCCTCTCCTTACGCCTGCAGTTTGACAGCTTCACCAGTCGCTGATTTGATACGATACCGGCAGATCAATCAAACAGCCATTCTTTGCTGCTCTTGAACCGCTCGACGCCTGTTTTCTCAGCTTCCGTCACAGCTGCCCGCCATGTGCCGGTTTTTGGTACGTCATCGCATCGCCCGCAACACCATAAAACACCAGAATTGCTATTCCGAGATCGGGGTTTTGCGCCTGCGACTGACACAAGTGCTCGCCTCCAGGTCTACAAAGGCAGCGACGAGATCCTGCTGTCGAAGCTCATCCTCGATCCGACCCATTCGATTCTTAAGCAGTCCTTTGATTCACGGTTGCGACTGGTATGCTTCTCTCTCTCGCCACGCGCAGTCAATCTCACCGTCAGACTCGGCTGACACCCCCCTCTTTGCCATCTTCTTAGGACACGCGACGAGGCCAGAACAATGCAGACGGCTTTGGCATAGGCTTCTATACTGATCTCAAGCTCGGCTCGGCCCCCTGCCTCTTCACATCGACGATTCCCGCGTGGAACTGCACAAATCTTCAGCGCATCGCGTCCAAGACGGCGTCTCGACTCATATTCGGCCATGTGCGCGCAACGACCGAGGGCTCCCTCAGCGAGGACAACTGCCATCCCTTTACACACGGTAGCCTCATGTGGATGCACAATGGCGGCCTCGGCGGCTGGAAACACATCAAACGGCGGCTTGGAAGCCTGTTGGCAGACAAATGGTATCTGGGCGTCAAGGGAGGCACCGACAGCGAATGGGCATTCGCCCTGTTTCTGAATACTCTCGAGCAGTCGGGCCACGATCCGAGCGCTTGCCCGCCCGGCGGATTTGGACCGACGGTGTTGCGAGAGGTCATGAAGAAGACAATTGCCCAGATCAACGAACTAACAGACTCCATTCCGCAAAGCATCCTGCAAAACGAAGACGTCGACACCAGAAGCTTATTGAACTTTGCCGTGACAGACGGCCATAGCGTCATCTGCACACGCTACATCAGCAGCTCCAAGGACGAGGCCGCCAGCTTGTACTATTCGTCCGGAACACAATGGGTTACGAGGACTTCCTTGCCAGATGATAGGCAGTACCAGATGGACAGAAAGGACAAGGGAGGCGACATTGTCCTAGTCGCCAGCGAGCCCTTGACGTTTGAAAGAGGTAAGAATAGCGGTATCCTCGATGTCAGAGCATTTCACTTGGAAGATGTTGACTTTTGGTGCCAGAAAACTGGGTCAATGTACCAACCAACTCAATACTGACCATCCACCACCAAACCGTCATGGTTCACCCCATTCTAGACAAATACTACGAAGGGGATCCGTATCACATTCGTTCCAGCGCCTTTGTTCAAGAAAAGGGCCTCATTACCAACGAAAAGACATCCAGCGGCTCTCAAAGCCCAGCTAGCATCGACGGTATACGAAAGACCACCGCTCAGTCACTCATGACTGGTGGTCTCAGCCCTGATCTTGTGCGCCGATCGCTCACGCCAGTCTCTTCCCGAGAGTCACGACTCACTTCTCAACTTCAGACAGCACGACATCTAGCTTCGCCACCACGATCTTAAGGGGCTGTGAAAGGCTTCGTGTGTATTGTTGCTTAGTCTCGCTGAATGACCGATCCACACGGTGGTCAGAACAGATGAGATGGCTGCATGGCCTTGCTGGAATGATATTTATGGTATAAATTGCGAGTTTTCAAGTCAATGGATAATTGTCTTGTGTGGTATAAGGGGGTTGGTTAAGCCTCTGGGCGAAATGGTATAAGGAATTTGATTGGTATTCTAGCGTGGCATAGACGGTTGGCGTTTTCTTTAGTATGCTCATTGTAACTCATTAAATTCATTGTTCTTCGAGATGTTTACTTCACTGGATGGAATTATATGTTAGATAGCACCAATGTGATATTTCTGATGTTTTTGTCAAAGGAAATGTTGACATTGTTGGGTTAAAGATTGCCTTTTATTTACCAAGTACCCCCCACTACGGCTTCATTTGACGTAAAAACAAGACATTATTTACATCAATTGCAGTTAGTTAGCCCTAACTTTACTTCTCTCTCTCGCATGCTGTCTTCTCAATTCTCAACATTTCCAGAGCAACATCCCCTTATCGATATACGTAAGAGAGTTGGTCATAATCTCGTAAATCGAGCCCGATCAGTTCTCGCAAGTGCGTAATTGAGGATCTTGGCGCACTCAAATACGAGCTAGCTGTACAGTCCAGTCTCAATGGCTCTCTCCACAGTCTGTCTGATCTCTTGATTGTGGTCCTATATGACATCAAGGTCAGTTTCAACTACGTTATGAAGAGGTCACATAATCTCCTCCTCGGATGTCTACACATGGGCTGCTCTACATAAATACGGAGTACATCGTGATTTTACTTTCTACATCATTCTCGGTCCCTGTTCCTTGTAACCCCTTTGTGGTGACCCAATCGCAGCCGACCTCATTTATCCGCGCCGTGACATACATCAAGTCAACACTTGTGATCTTAGTGGCGATTATACGTAAAAACACCAATTCTCATCAGCTGATGGCTTCTCCTACCAGCATTTTCCTTCTTTTTCTAGTAGTCGTGGTCAGATTTTTGTGGGAAATGATCGATCTCTGGCCAGCGTAGTTATCTCTTCCTGTAGAACGAAGTGTTGATTCACTGTAGGTCACTTTGTGTAAGTGCTCATCAATTATGGCCAGTAGGTAGGCAACAATCTATAGTAAGTAGCAAGCAGTGGTTATCTTCAACATAATTCTAACAGAAGCTACTATAGCTAACCCTTTTACAGCTTCTGTCACAATGGTCTCACGAAACCCATCACCTTTTGAGCTCAACACTCCCTTCTTCTCTATTCCATCCATCTTTGCCAACACGCTCGTTCTCAGGACAGCGATAACTGTGTCCCATTTACCAAATCTAATCATGGTACCGGGGATAAAGACATATTCATATTATCTATGCCGACCTATTGTGCATCAGAGTCTTGATTATGCACGTCTTAGTAACGAGTACTCCGTACAGCTACTCCTATTGACATGATACATCCACAGTTTCTTCACCCCTTCCAAAATACCACAAAAAGCGGCATAATTACTCCTTAGCTATCAATCAACGCATTGCTACACGCCTCTCTTTCCCTTTCAAGCCCAGAGATCAAGCCAAACAAATGATATCATCGTAGTCGAGTTCCATCTCGTATCCTCTTAGTAAACCTGCATACTTCAATCTGCTTCAGGAGATTTTTTCTCTCCCCCAGGCTTTCCCACTTCTTCAAAATTACAAACATCATTTCCCGTCTCTTTGCCGAAGAGTTTCCCTGGACACGTACAACGGCCTTCTCCCGAGCCATTTCGACAATTACTCAAACTCTCCCATCATTCCAGCTCCACTCCAGACAATGGAATCACAGCCCTCGCAGCCCACCTCCTCGGGCACGACTGCATAAATTACGCCGATTTCCTCGGTGAAGCTTGATCGGCATTAGGCTTTTCCTCTTACGCCTCCCACATAATCTGCCCACCACTACCCACACGAAGAAAAAAAAAACACCGACCCTCCAGGGGGAGAAAAATAAGACAAAATAGCCCAGATAGTGGCAAAAAACACGGGAAATGAGGCTGGTCAGGGGGGAGGGTGATGGGGGACGGGGGAGGAGGAGCACCGGACTACTAGCTGCAGCTGAGAACTAAAATCTCGCCTACACTACATATACCCAGTTGTCATCATATAGCTTGGGAGAACTTCTGTACCTTGCGGTGAAAGAATCGGGCCACTTCGGTGCCTTGGGGTGACCAAGACGCTGGCGAGGAGGCCCTTGATGGGTTTGCCTGAAACGGGCCCTTTTGGCGAGTGTACCAAACATCGTCACATGTGGAAACTCCGAGAGCCTCTCTCCCCCCCTGAGAGAAGGCGTATGTGCTTGTAAAAAAGATGAAGAGGGTGAGGAATGCTACGCCCTGAGAGAACTTCGCAGCCTCCAAGGTTGCGATGGGTCTAACCCAGTTGATTGATCAACTTCATGCCATCTACAATTAGTGGATATCTTCACTGTTTTTTTCTTCTTCCTCTGGTGTGAGTTTATAAACAAAAAAAAAACATCATGCCATTTTTCTTTCATGCCACTCGTTCTATTTCCATTTCGCCCCCTTTTCTCATCTTTTAGATTCCTCATCTTTCTTTCTCACGGCACATGTATGCATGAAACAGAAGAGTGCCGAGGTCCTCACCCCTCTAGTTGGGATGGGATGGCCACATTCACCCCCATCGGTCCGTCCGATCTCTAGATGCGGCTGAAATCTACACGATACCCAAGGGGGATCTCACCTCCACGGACTTTTTGACTGGCTTTGTGCACTCCGCATCCTGAACGGGGGAGGGGCGTCAAAGCTAATGAGTGCCGAGCCTTTGACAGGTCCCCCCCCCTTTTTCTTTCTTGTTTAGGCCATTAGCTTGCAGCTGTTTTCCCTTCGACTTGTTCGAGTAAGATGTGACGTGTCGGGCGCATCGGAGGACGCACCGAATCAAACCATTCGGGTATATCTTGCGATACAAACGTACCCGTCAGAGCAAGCACCTGTAAGAGAGTCGCTCGGTTAGCAAGGCACCAGTCGAAGTGTGTCTTGTGCGTTGATTTGAGGAGACAAGATGGCCTTAAAAGGGGGGCACACAATGGGGGACGACAAAAGGGGAGTCAATGCACTCTGATGTTTATATTTGGGTGGTTAGTGGATTGTTACGTTGTATGCCACGCATCTAGCGTAGTTGGCCGATTTGTAGGTTGTTTTTAATCCTGACGAAACGGTTTCCGGGTAGGCCATCTAGCTGAAACGTCGGGTAGCGAGGCTGAGTGTTTGTCGGGTTTTCGGCCATACGAGCACTCGTTCTCTCCAGGGATTCACTTGAGCTTTGACATCTCGGCTGCGTTCCGGAGACCTGGTTCACAGCTGTTTGCAGTAAGAAAAGCGTCAAGAAAAGGCATGGTTGAGATAGATTGAACCTGGGCAGACGAGATTTCTTAAAGAGACACCTGGAGTTCCGAGCACCCCGATAGCCGGGTGAAGCAGTGTGTAATAATCTCGGCTGTACTCCGTACTCGTAAAAAGTTCATGTGCTTGCCAGCGGACGTAAAATACGGTGAGAGGATTAGCAGCTCTAAACTGGAAGACAAGCGTGAGTGTTAGATCAAAATATTACGGTGCATGTAAGTCCTGCAATGGGCTAAATCGATTCCTTAGCCAACGCGCCAATTCATGATCTACAAAATCCTTCCAGTGTTTGCGAAATGGGTGCCATGCTCTTTGCCGCCGTGCTCGAGCAGGGAAAACGAAATTGAATGGACGAAAAGACAAATAGCTGCATATGAAAATATGCAGCAAGTAATACGAGCAGTCACTCAACTTCCCACCTAGGAACTGCTGCGGCTCGGGAGCGGGACGAGCCCGCGACGATACTCAAATACTACTCTTTCCCAGGGCTATGTGCACGGGGGAGTCAGTGGGGGAGAAAAGAGCAATCAATTTTTCCTTCTTCAGTATTCAAGCTTCTTTCGAGCCTGTATGCCGAGGTACCGTCGCCGGCCGGAGAGGGCGTGCGTGGGAATTGTGTGGTTTACAAGCAGCCAGCTTCTCATTGACAAAGTGATGTGTAATCTCACTGTCTTGCCCGGAGGGTGTTGCCAAAGAGGGCCAGCAGAAAGGCAAGGATTGGGAGGCTGTGTGCTCTCTGCAGTGATGCGAGAGCGAGAGCGAGAGCAGACATGTACGGACGTAGCATTTTGGGTAGGACTCATGTAAGCGTGAGATGAGAGTCGGTTGCGTTGCTGTGGTTGGTAAGAAGGGGGCAAAAAAAGGCTCCAGAGGGTTTTGGATGACGGCCATGTTGCATGCGCCGCAATTAGCAGGGCGTTGGTGAGATGCACATAAGCAACTGAAGCTGGTGGAATGCTACTCATAGGGGTAAGCAAGGCGAGAAACTGCATATTTGTTCATGACCCGGACGAATCCCGACGTCGTGAAACGGATTAACATCTGGTTTGGAGGGTTTAGAAGCGAGGCTCCGTTGAGCGGGAACGCTGGAAAGATCAACAAGGCTGACGCTTGGCATTCAGGCGCGCAAGCCAAATCGTTAAGACGCCGGTGATAATTAGCCTTTTGTTATTGCCGTGCGTGTCCCTGTGCATGCCTTTCCCATCAAGTGCTCTGCGCTACGTATCATGGAGAGACTCGCAATTGGCTACCCAAGCAGGGCTGCATAAGTCGCCAAATGCCCCAAGGTACCCGTATCCCAAGGTACCCGTATGCACCGGTGGCAGCAGGACAATGGGCCAAATACCTGGCCAAGGTATTTGGGGCTCCAAAGGACGGGACAAGCTGGTCTCGTGCTTGAGTTGCATTGTATGTAGGCAGTACAGGCTGCTCCATAAAACCTCAATCTTCACATTGCAGGTACGAGCACTCGGAAGCGGGATGTGGGCTAAGCCGAACCACAGGCTTGCTTCATGCTTGATAATTCCGTCGTGGGCTCGGCGGCGAAGAGGCCAGTTACGGGTATTCGTCAAAGAGGGCGTGCG